TTATTATTATTTTAGACCATGCAGAATCTACTAGATACCCCACATTATGGAAGGGTTCCTAACGGGAAGTAAAAGTGTAGCAACATGGAATGCATAAAAATCTGTTCCTGAAAACGTTAATGCTTGGCTATGTACCAGAATAGAGCCTTAACGTAGTCTTAAGAGCATGGATGAGTGAAGACTGGCTAAAACAGACTAGACAAGGCTGAGGTGATGGAGAAATAGCTAGGGGGAAGGATGCTTCTGATTTCAGACATTTGTCCATTGGCTGGGACATATGTACACTAGTTAGAACGGAGGCTGTAAAACCAGCTTATATAATTGATCAGAATTGCTCTCAATTTAGTACGCAGCTGACAGAATATGATGTTTTCTGCATGACCAGGGTGCTGACACTCATCTGAGTCTCTGTGCTGCAGAGACCTGCAGCCTCCAGCCAGTCAGAAAACAAAGAGGTGGTTGAGTATGAGGCTGCCTGAAGCTGGCGATAAATCCTGCTGGGATTCACACCGAGTTCTGGGATCAGCACTGGCCACCTATCTGTGTCTGAGATGAACACAAAAGGTTACTACACTGACCTTTAAAGCCATCAACAAATCTGGGAGATGTCTTGGCAAAGGAATGCTCTCTTTCTGGTTGGCTACCAAGAGAGAACTCAGCTGAGGCTCCTCAGGGAGGAGTCCCTTGACACCAAGCATCTTCCTCCTCTCTCTGGGTCCCAGGCAGCTCGGATTTGTTCAGCTACAGAACCCAGTGCAGAAGCTACATAATCTGCGTGGAGGAGTCTGTGGTAAAGCAGAATGACTTTTTACTGCTTTGTTTTATTGGCCGGTGAAGTTTCTGCCTTTTATTATATACTACAGGAATAAAAGGTTTATTCATCAGTTATTTACAACTCGGGCATAGGAGCATATATTTATTCAAACCAGGAAGCAATCTAAACAAAAGCAAATTGTTTTTAAATTGCTGCTGTTTTTAAAAACACTAGTGCTTTGTTTAACGGAGTTCTGGGACATTTTGTTGCTCATGTGCACCATAAAATGAAAATCTGATTTTCAGCACTGTGCCTGTAATGTGATTCTTTAAGAACTCTGAAGAACTCAGCTTGGTAGCAACCTGTTTGTTTATAATCCATTTAAGATGCTGAGAAGGAAACGTATGTAATAAACTCATTATGGCTATCATATATATAAACAGGTACATGAAAATGAATTTTACTTGAAGTTAACTACTTACTTGATAAAAGAAACCCCAAAACCAAACAAAAAACTTCATTCCACAAACATGTACATACTAGAACAGGTGTCCATAGGGGCTGTGGAGCCTCCATCCCTAAAGACAGTCAAAACCCGACTGGAAAGGCACTGAGAAACGTGACCTAACTTGAATGCTGGCTCTGTTTTGAGGAGTGGTTGAAGTAGAGACCTCTAGAGGTCTATGGTATTCAAACAAATATGTACGTCAGAAAAGAGCTGTGAAGTCCTTGGACTCATAGGAGATGAAGCTCACGGTTCTGAGTGGTGACACTGTCACAAGAAAAAACACTCAAAGGAAACTTCAGTAACATTTTGCAGATATTCAAGGGAAAAGGGAAGTTACATTATTCTACTTGTCAAATTTACTGGTGGTGAGAAGTATGTGCCTTGCAGATAGATATAAAAAAAATGTGAATTACAGAGACTCATTGTCTTCTGAAATTGTTAAGCCCTGGGATTTCCAGATGCAGAGATAACAGATTAAAAACCTATGGCACCTGAGGAACTGCATGTATTTCCTTTGAATCAAATAAAAAAATGTATCTCCCCATGTTCTTCTGAATAGAGAGCTTCTGCTTCACAAAATGCATGTAATCTATTTGCTTACAGTATGTCCACACCTGGCACTTTAACCAAACTGACTGAAGTGCTTTCGTACAAGACGTTTGCATACTCTCGTTCTTTTCATATCTGAGACTCCATTGCAATGAAGGACCGCTTCCATGCTGGCTATCCTGTAGATAATTTCGAGATGCATGCACAGCTCAGTGGCTCCTCAGCTGATATAAGCTGTTCTTAACAGATAAATACTGACTTATATTGGCTGGGGATCTGCCAATGATTTTAACCTAGTCTACTGTATAATCTGAGATCAATTTTTATTTTCTAAACTGGCAACTGAGAAGTAATTTTCCTCCTCCCCTAAACTAAAGGATGAGACAACCACACCATCAGAAGATAAGCAGTCTTATCCCACTGCATATTTAAGCATGGAAAAATCTCAATGAGAGATTCCAATTCCCTTTCAAAAATACCTGTTGGTATCATACTAATTATACCTGTTCCAGAATTCTCTTGAAAGTACTAAAAGGAAAATCTGCTGCTCAGAGGCTGACAGCATTCAGCACACATGTTCTGTTCAAATCTTATCCCCCCACAAAACCCGCACCTCAACTCACTAAAGACCAAGAATGTAAACTATCAATATTTTTCTTTGTTGCCCAAATATCTTACATTTTTCAAGTGCGTCCATTGCAGCTCCCATTTCTGCTTGCTGAATACTGTGAAATCCAAACAAAAACATGTTACATGATATCTAAGTTGTACAAAATAAAAAAAAGTTTCTGACAAAGTGGATCACTACCTATTCTTTTGTAATAAAACTAGCTAGTAATTCACAAAGTGTATGATATATAAGCCTTTTCATAAATAAGTGAGCAATTGCACTACTGCTCCAGTAGAATATTTTTAAACTTAGATCAGTGACACTGACATAATATTCTAGTCCACTCTTCAGTGAAGCATTTGCTTTTACTTGAGAGAAAAAAAAGGAAAAAAATCACAGAGGTGTGAATGCTATAAAACCAACGATATTTTTGTAACTACCACCAGATTTGGCAGCACAAAATAAGATGAGGTTTTTGAGGTTAATGGTTGAAGCCTTTGCAACTTTAGAAACCATTCTACAATGCCTAGAAGTAATAAGATCAGGAAAAAAACCTGAGTGCCTTGCACCTTTAACTCGCCAGCTTAAGTTGGACAGTAATCTGGTAGCAGAGCTAAAGATAAAGTCACTATTTCCTGGAAGCTGTTCTACAGTTTCTAGTCTGAGAGCCGCAAATTGGCTAGCATTGCTAGCAACCTTGCAGGCAAGTTCACGAAAAAAAGCTTACGACCCAAAACTGTACAAATCTTGAATCCTTCATGTATACCTGAGGCTGAAACTCAGAACAGTTTGAACAAGTCTCTATACCTTTGCTTTTCTAAGGCCAACCACACACTTGTCTATTTCCATGGCTAGTCCTATTGGACACTGCCACACTCAAACTTTTATACCATGTGATTAATTTATCACTATACCTTGGACCTTTACCGCATCCTATTCTTTCCCCTTTGAAGTAAACAGCTACTGTGTATGTCCTGGCATGAGATGGTCCCACTGTCTGCAAAGTCCTGCAATAGGAAAGATACAATTTATTCAAGCAGGAAGTATTAAAAACCAGAATCTGTTCATGGCACATACATCACCAAGCTTTCAGTATGGTCCATACGTACAGAGAAATTAGGCAAAGCACAGCACAAGGATTGAAAGATGCCTGTATAAATCACATGAACCCAGAAATTGCCAGTATGGTGCACAATAAAAAGGAGAAATTTACATAAAATGCACCCTGTATATATTTGTTATATTTGGTTATATCTGGTTCAATCAGGAGCACCATAACATTAAAACTTTAACCTATAAGCAAAAATGGAAACTATAAGACAAAGTGCTTAAACACTGTGGAAACATTTGTATTAACATCATATAAATTGTGTGCATCTGTGCAATTGCAAATAACCACATTGATATGATCATTGTGTGCACTAAAATTTTAGTCCCTGGGAGTTGTGCAGTTAGCAAGGTTTCAAAAGGACTTTATATTGGACATGGCAGCTCTCTACTGTGAATTATCACAGTACAAAGAAATTTTCCACCAGCTTTGAAAAGTTACAGTTTGTCACAAAACAAACTTGCCATTTGAACTAAAGTCTAGGACATGCATCCACAACCATCTAAAGAGCAAAAAAGATAATTCCCTGGACACGAGATGAATTGCTTCTTCTGCCATTTGTTCCTGCTTTCCCAAATCTCTCCCCACTACCAGCTTGAGTTCTGTCCACTACCTTGTTTCTTTTTGGAAGGAGCACCAATTTCACATCAATTTTTAAAGTATCTAACTATACTACTCTGTCTCTGTGTGCTGAGACAAGAGCATATAAAACCCACTCCAAATTTAAAAGGAATAGTACTGACAGCAGTGAAACAGATAACCCCTAGAAAAGGAATTTAACAAGATAATAGGAAGATAACAGCGTATTACTAGCTCTAAGCCGTACTATAAAAATCAATTTATCATTACAGTAAAACAAAACAAACATTTGATAGCTGATACTCAGTGGGTTTTACAAGAATCAGGAATTGTTCTTTTGTATTCATCTTCCTCACCCAAGACAAAGCTGTGAGCCCTCAAACAGAGACACCGTGGAGTCAGATTTGCAGAGCATCAGTTGCAGTGTTAAAGCGAATATATTCCTGAAGTGCACTGTTTGTCACTATAAATGAACTGCTACATTTCATTGAAAACTTTACTTCAGTAAATGTGACAAATGCACTTGAACTTTCATTCTTCGTACCTTTTTTATATAATCATTCCAACAACACAAGCCTTGATCTTTCATAGCTTTATCTCTTCTTTTGGGTGGTAACATTGCACCCATTCCTATATTAATGGAATGGATATGGATGCAATATACAATCTTAAGTTTATTATTGCCTCTTTAAAGCAGCTATTATGCTATTCTACAATTGAAAAAGAGAAAGGAGATCCATCCCATCCAGCTTCAGGTATTTAACTGACATGTACAAGTTAAGAGTTCATTCCCCTGAACCTTTTCTGTCACTAAACAGGAGGACATATGTGGGCTGAATTGTGCAGTGAAAATGTCCAGAACTTGTGTTGCCCTTCAGTGCCTGACTCTGTGGATTAGCAACAGAGCCTGCAATCAGGATGTGTAACACAGGGCACTTATTATGTTTGCACAGTTGAGTATAGAGAAACTTCATACTATTACTGAAAATACAATGGAGGTATCTCGACTTCATACCCAAACAGCCATTGTTCCATTAATTTCATTTAAAATACTGCTATTCCTTATATCAAAGGAAGAACAAATATAGAATGATGGCAACGAAACAGTCCACTTGAACATAAAAATTATATTTTCCCTTGCAACTGTTCAAGGTTACTAATTTTTCCTTGTAACGGCTTAAAACACTTAAAGCTTGGAAAACATTGGTTCAACATCTTCCATCTTCAGAGAGAGATGGGATAACTACAATAAAACCAAGCTATGGGAAAAAACATAGGGTGACTGATTACATCTTCCTCCATACACAAGAAAGACTGATAATTAGCTTGTATCCATAAGATAACAGTTCCTACTTGTAAAGAGGAATGTCTGGCTCTTTTCCTTCTGTCCTGAGAGTCAAGCAGCACTGCTGAAGCTGAGATTTAGGATCATTCCAATCTTGATTTAAAATAAACTCCTGTAAGATTCACAAAGATGCTATTATGATTGAGAGATTGTGGCAAAAGTCACAAATGTAATAATGTACTAAAACATAGTGGCAGGAAAGTAGTAACCTGCTTGATCTTACCTTTAGCCGTGGAAAAAAGCATACGTTCATGAAAGTGTGAACGTATTCCAAATCTTTATCAATGTACAGGGCAGCAATAAAGGCTGGGGGGGAAAAAAAAAAAATTCCTGTCACTCATCCAAGGAGAACGTTAATGGCTTGCACTTTTAGAAAGAACTATCTCTGAGTACTCTAAAGCCAATTACATTTCACAGCAGTGATCTGATGAGGATATTACTATCCTGCATGCACAGGAAAAAAATAAAGCTGACCAAGAGATTAAGTAACTTACCCAAATCCACTAAGTCATTTAAAGAGCTAGAAACAACACTCAGCTCCTAATCTCACAATTTAACCAACAGACCATGTATACTTACAAATAAATCACTACTGGGCACCATAAAAAGTTTTAGATACATATCTAACTCCTGTTTGTGTGCTATTTCCATTTGCTTACAGGATTCGGCAAAAGCCAAGAGGTCTGAAAGTCTCGCAAAGTATATCAAAACATACAAGATATGGGTTAACTTTGTTTGCAGAATATTTATCAGTGTCCACTTTCTTTGGAAAGAAAGTAGCACAAACTTCCATAAATGGACTAGCTTTCCCTCTTCTTGAATTACCATTTTGAAACTCCCTAAAATGCAGCCAAATGAAATACAGAAATAGTCACCTCCTGAAAGAACTACTTTATCTTCCAACAGTGAAAAGAACATATTAATGAAACACTGAAACTGCTGTTAAACAGCTCAACTCTGACCATAAGCTTTAACTTCCTAGAGATGCTTTTGACCTGGTCATCATGAGCCCTTAATTTTTAAGCCTACAACTTTGTATCCGCAATTACACCTCCTTTAGGCTTTCATACAGACTTCAAAAGTCTAGGCTGGTGTTCAAAAATCTGGCTTTCAGAGGTACAGGCATAATTCATTTGAAAACCTAAACATCCATTTTTAATAGTAATTTGGGGATTTCTAATGGCTTTCTTAAACAAGTCCCAAGAAACACAGAAGTTGTGTAAGTACTAAGCTGTTATAACCAAATTAACTCACATTCCAAGAGATCAGCCAAAGTCTTAGTTCGAAGAGCTACAGGTCTTTTTGTCTTGTCATTAGTGATGGCAAATTCTTGCATACCCAGCTCTTCCGCCACCTTGGCCTGTGTCCTGTTGTTCACCAAAGAACTTCTCAACAACTGCAATAGAAAGAAGTTCCACTCAATGGCAACAATTAGCAATGCCAAACTATAAAAGGTAGGGAGAGATGGGGAAAAATAAGTTACTTTTATCCTTGTAGCCTCTCACTTCTCTCAGTTTATTGACATTCAGTTTCAGCACACCCCAGATAATTCACATAAACACACACACATTATTTCTCCTGCTGATTTTTTCTTCTGTTTCAATTCTTCTCAACAAATTGCATTTATTCTGTGGACACATTACTTCTGTAGATAAGTCTTGCATTTAAAATGCTTGTTTGTGAGCTTCTTTGCAATCATATACCATCTCTTGAGCAGTCCTGTACTTTTTCAGCTAATCTGCATTTTTCTAGTTTAAGTAATACACAGTTATATACATTTTTTCCACATAAAGTACAAACATACAATATTCTGGAGTCTATGGAGCAGTCTCCAGTGTCCCCTAAATAATAAATAAATAGACAGTAATTAAAGCAAATGCACATTAAAGCAAGACAGTCTACTGTTTCAGAACAAGCAGATGAGGAAGTTGTTCCATTCATTTGGCCAGAGAAGAAAACGCATAGCTGGACAGCCTGTTTGCTCTGATGAAGGCAGTACAGCTGAGCCGATGCATTCCTGACAAAGATCTGTCTCTAACATTTTCAATGTATGACAATGTCCAGTACACCTGGTTCTCCAGCAGAGTTCACTGAAGTGCTTAACCCTGGCTCCAGGTAGACTGCTTAAACACAGAGCTCTGCCAAAGATACAATCCCATACAGATTACAAAGAGTATTTTGGAATTTTAGAGTTTCATATAATTTTCTGAACCTCTGGTTAAGGTGAGCTTTTTTTTCTGTTTGCTTGCTTTTTTGCTTTAAATGAAACAGCATTAACTTAAGAAATTAGGGATATTATGGGAGGTGGAGGTGGGAGGGAAAGAATGTCTCTCTTTACCACTGTTTATATGCAATCTAGAGCTGAGAAGCTGCATAACACATTTTTTCTCTCTTTGTCTTCCATGTCACATTTGCTCAGCTTATTAGATCCAAGTTATATGCTACCTGGCTCCAGCATGTCAACTGAGCTTATGAAAATCAAGATTTATTTGCTGCACTTGATACTTCATCTCTGACAACAGATAAATAAAGAACAGTATGTTCATAATTTGTTTGGCAATGATGTATGAAGCAGATACTCACAACTTGATCTTCATAAACTAGGCAGACTGCAGATGGGATTATTACCTGCCTCCCTAACCTCTCCATAAACTCATCTTCTACTTGTTCCTTTCCAAAATTCATCCGTTTTGTGTCCTTTAAAAACAATACTTTCACCAAAAAATCCTAGGTACGATATGATATGCAACCTACGTGACAGAAGTGCAGTTATCATGTGACAAAAATCTGTTTCTGGTAATGGGAGAAGGATTTCTTTTTCTGTGTTTTCAGAGTATTTATTTTGATGGGACCTGTAATCATGATTAGTAGTATAAAACAAAGAACAAAATGTACAGTACAAAGTGAACTAGAGATGGAAAAAAAAGTTATCTTTCTAGCACTGTGGTTATCAACTTGCTCCATACTAGAATCTGCCTACTCTAAAGAGCGATCTATCAAGAGACTCAATTCCCCTTAATGATATGGGGAAGACACTGGACCTGTGCCTTCCCGGTAACTTTTTTAGATCTAGCCTCCACTCTGGCAACCCACAGCCTGCATCATTGCAGATGCTGTAACATGTGACAGATGCTCAACTGGAGCTTAACTCTAATTACAAAGCAATTTTTTTTATTCTTCTGTCTTCCCACAGCATACTACTACCCACGACTGCAGCATAAGCCAGCACTGGAAAAGTTGTGTCTTTCAACAGCCAACAAAATTTCATTCTCTTGTTTGGCAGATCACTCTGCTATCTTCAGATACGTAGACAAGGCTATGTTCTCCTTTCTTTTTCTTAAATGTAGCTAATTTATAGACATCTCTCCACAAGTAATCACTACACACTAGGAAGCCAGTGCATTGCCGGTCAAGTGGAATTTCTCGTCCTTGAGCAAAATTGTGCTTAACACTATAGACACCATTAAGTTGATGTTCCATTATTACTTCCAATGCAAGTATGTTTCCAGATAACAGGAGAAAGAGCTCAGCGTTTGCTGTTTCTCTTCAGATCCCACATCATGAGTCTCCTTTCTCACATCCCATCTCATTTGTCCTCAAATTTAAAAATAATCTAAGACAATTTTCTTTTTCATTGCATGTGCATCCTCCGAGTTTAAATTTCATTCTAGCTATTGCCTACTTCTCCATATCTTCATGTGTTTTCAGCATCCGTTCCACTCTAACTTTGTAGTTTCCCCTACAAACTCGGACTGTGCAACTTGCTTTACTTGTCAGCTCATTAATCATTAAATTAAGCAACACGGAGACGTTCTGATCATTGTTTTGAGCATTTACACTCATTAACAGCAACATTTCATATCCTTCCTGCCAAATAGTTCTTGAAAGATTTATCATATTATAAGAACACTGATGCCTACATTCTTAAAAGTCACCTACAAAGCAAAAAAAACCCCCACCAATCTTGGATTTCTGCCTCATGCTTTTGTTTCTCTGAAGAATTAATATGACAATGCTCTTCCCCTTTTAACTTTTACTTCAAAAGTTCAGGTTTTATCTACTTTGCCTCTTAATGGTGCAGAAGAATCCATACAAATGTAAATTAAACTTAAAAACTGGTAAAGAAAATTTAAAATTACTTTTAGTTAGAGCATGTACTTTTTTTCTTGTAAACAGCTTTAGCTCAAAAGAAGCACATTCTTGAAAACACATTGTCTGCTAGAGACTTAGCACTGCCATCCCTTTATTGATTTGAGAAAACCACTCTGAGTAGCTAAGAAACTACAGTGCTACTTCTTAATTTTAACCAGAAGACCTGTGTCATATTCCTGATACATGTATCTCTTTTTTATTCTATTCAAGACTTGAAAACTAAGAAAAAATTAGTAAACCTAAGCAAATTTCTTCCTGACAAATGAAGCCACAGCTGCAGTATTACACAAACCAGGAAAAAACCGACATATAATACCAGCCTATGTTTAAAGTACTGCAAATTGCTAAAAGATGCCCAAACTGGGTTGTTCAGAGACCAGAGAAGAGATGCTGAAAGGCTACAGCAATCAACAACAGATGACTATAGCAACAGTAAAATTTAATTCAAAAGCTACCATAGGAGCTCCACATTGAAGACAACAGGAAAACCAGACTAAAATAGATTGTAAAAACTTCTTATCAAGAAACATAACCCTGCCTGTTTGGAGGTTCAACAGACTAGAAGTCATGAATAAAAAAAGTCATGTGAAGTGCCTATTTAAATAAATGGTTTAAAAACTCCCATCTTTAAACAAGAACTAGTCTTATCTCCCAATTTTATCACTGACATGCTCAAAATTATTGATCCATTTCACAGATGGAACAAAAATCACCGCACTGGGCTCATGAATCACCATTTCCTATTCATCGCTGTGCTCATGACTTGAAATTAACAAAGTCTTATTAAGAGCAGTGGTTGCTGAGACTTCTTTTATTACTCAAATCCAGAATAATTCACTATCTGCTCCCACAATTTCAGTCTCCATGCCACTCTTGCTCTCCCAGAGAGCATGACTGATGGCAGTCTCACCGTTAAGTGCCCTTCATGATGATCGGGGAAATGTATGAATAAATACTCTGTGGCTACCAACTGCATTATGGAGTCACCCAGGAATTCCATCCTCTGGTTGTGGCCTCTGAAAAATGAGACATCAATGCAGCAAAATCAATAAGCACTCAGAAAGGAAAAAAACAAAACCAGCATGCACACACTAATGAAAATAGTGATCTGGAAATGAGCCTCACTTATTTCCAAATGCATTTAAGACAATTTTCCATTGTTAACCAGGTGAGATGAAAACACAGTTCATTACTGTTGTAACACCAGCTTTCAGGGAGAAATCAAACCAGGGTAGCTACATACAAACACCATTATTACATTACACATCTGGGGCTGATTGAAGGAGAAGAGCAGTTAACACCAAGTTTGTAATGGGATATGGTCTCTATCTGCAACTTCTTACAAGAAAGTGAACTTACGAATGAAACAACTTAAATAGAGAAAAAGTTTTGTCCATTCACAAGAAATAAAAGGATCAGGGTTCAAACCCATGTGAGATCCTGGACTGGGTAACCACTGGCATGGCTTTACTGTTTGCTTTAAATAGGGCCTGGCAGCTCTACACACCACAGAACACAAGAGCTGCCCTTGGACCAAAGAGCATGATTTTACTTCTTTCCTTTGCCCAAAGGTACCTCCAAGTATGTTTTGCTACTGTCTCAGGAGTGATGTGCAAATACCAATGATGCAGGAAGCCCAGAAGAAACACTACAATGGCTCTCTAACATCTTCTGTAGGCTTTCCCAAGGTATCCATTACTGACTACTGTCAGAGACAGGCAGGCTTGTGAACATGGCTGCTCTGTTCTCTTCTGGAAAACAGATCTAGAGTTTGTTTACAAATAACCCAATCTGGGATACTAACAGAAGGATCAACACAGCTACATGAGGACTCTTGCTGTATACTCACAGAGTCAGATGGTTAAAGCCTACTGTCCTCAAAGTGAATGCACGTGCTAGAAGCCGAACATGAGTAAAGATGACTCCAATTGCCTCCTCAAACTCTGTAAGCTTTTGAAGAACTGGAGAGGTCTCAATGAGTTGCCTGTCAGTATTGGACTCCTGCAGCTGTAAATAAAATGAAGTGCAAATAATGACAAACTGACACTGTTTGAGAACTTTTCAGAGAAAAGCAAGCCTTCTGTAAACCAAAGGCAAAGAATACAGTGAACAAGTCATTCCGTGGACAGCTGAACTGAGAAAAAACGGTTTCCTCTGTCTTTTTGTCTTGGATAATTACCACTCAAAGAGGATGTGAGTTCTGATGTATGCTTTTTTAACTGTTGAGGCATTTATACCACATTGCTTATATGGTCTTGTCTCTACATGTGGATAGCATGGGTTACTTATTTGCACAAAACATGTACAACTGTACACGTCCAAGTTTTCTAGTACTATCACATTGTTTGCAACTGAGGAACAGATTCAAAAATTATTAGAGTAGGGCTGGCAGACTGACAACGTGTCAAGAAGAGACAAAACACAGATCTATTTCTCACACTTTCCTTCAGTATCAAAAAATCAAGAAAAAATACCTAGCATATGAAATACAAAAGGCCACAATAACACAAGAAAATTAAAACTATCACTTTGGGTCAGTATATTTTCTTATCAGTTTCTTGCCTGATTTTCCTGATGTGCTGACACTATTAAATGTTTTTCTGGAGCTGGGAAATGGCTTAAGCATTTCCTCCAGCCACTCTGCACACCTCTCTTGTATAGCAATGCCTTAGAGAAGGAATCATCCAGATAAGGATGCCTAAAGGAAAAGTAAGAATAGCCACAGTTTTTTTACGGTGGCATTAAGATTTTTTTTAGTGTGCTGCCTGCCTTTTTTCTATTAATTGACTACATTCAGTTTGCCTTTTTCTTTAAACACTACTGAGCTTTCAGCTGACATGTTCATAGAACTACATATCCCCACACCAAAATTGCACACTTGGGCAATAACGGTCAGTTTGGAGCTCAGCTGCATGTGGAGCTGAGACTGCTTTTTGCTTCCTCATGCACAGTCCCTACCAACACAGAATTTCATCTGCTTTTTTACTCCATAATTAGTTACCCTTGCATTCCAGCAATCAGACTGCAATTCTTCAGCTTGCTGTTGTCCCTGCTACCCTGAATAATTTGGTATTGTCAACAAACTGCCACCTCACTGCTCATCCTCTTCCCTAAGCTGTCGATGCAAACAGCCTGTACTTCAGCAAAGATCCCTAGGGAAATCTGCAAGTGATCTCCATCACCTTTAAGACGTGGTCATTTCACTCCCGTTCTCCATTTCCTATGTTTCAGTCATTCCTTTAAATCTTGTAGGGACTGACAGTATTCACCGAGGGTGCTATTTTTTTTTCCCTTTTTTTTAAAACACATTTTTAAAAGCCTTTCTTGAGTGCCTTTCCAACAGCCTCCTAGGAAACCCAGCAGACAGTACCATCTGCATCATCATGTGCTTTTTGTCTCTTCTAAAATCTCCTATTAATTTGTGAGGCAGGAGTTGTCTTTAGATGCTGACTCTTTCTAAAAAGACCACATTTATCCAGGTGGCCATTAATTATTTTTTCATCACTATTTCTACTGACTTGACTACTGCCAAACAACAAGGTTACAGGCTTCAGTTCTGCATATCTTACTCAGAGATTTTTTTTTTAACTGGCATGTCATTTGTCATATTGTTACTGCGACTTTCAATTTTTGACAATTGACAAACAATTTTTAAAATGCCATTTTTTCAGCCTAGCTGTGCCCAAAGGCCAGCCTGTGTTTCCCCTATTGGCAACCAGAAACCTAGGATGGCTTCTGGGACATGGAAGAAAATAAATTTTCATCACACAAGTTAAGGTAGTAGCAAGAATGATAAGCTGCATACACTGATTGTCTCCAATCCCTAAGCAGAGTCTAAGTCTTTTTTGTGAAAACAGAGACAAAAAGGTTAAAATAGAATAAAGTAAGAGAAAAGAAAGAAATTCAGAATATGAAGAATTTTCTTGGGAGCTTGTGCCACCACACAGGATAGCTGGTGCTGAATCTCACAAGTTCATCGTCCCATTAAGACTCTCTTCTATTTAATCCACAGAAAGTTGGTCGTAAGAAAGCTTCATGTGCACTGAGTTGTTGCTGAAGATTTTGCCTACGTACCCATTGCAAAATCCATACAAATATAAGAGACTTTTCAGAGGGAGGTCTCAAAGTGACGTTCCACTGGAAGGGTGTGCTCATAAAAAGGTTCAAAGGAGTCAAAACCTGAAAACCTTACTAACTGACTGGATGACGATTTTAATACAGCTGTTCTTGCAGCAGCCCTGCACACTTGGAAAATGCTACCATGTTTGCTGCGAAGACAAGGAGCTATAGTGCAGAGAGGCTCCATGACTTGTTCTCAGTCTTCGCCAGAATTCAGTCAGGGAACAAGGACTGGGGAAACATTCTCCCAACTTCTAGCCATGTAAAGCAACAACTTGTGAACTTGTATCCTGCAATATATGGAGGATAAATTAGCCTTCAGACGTCTTCATAATTTCAGTGTTTACCTAGTATTAGAGCTACCAGAATCACTGAAACAACTGTGCTATCATTGCACACCCACTAACAGAGAATAATCAAAATCACACTCTTATTCCATTCAACTGATGTGCCCTCCCACTATTAAGGTTTCAGTCCTAATTTCAGTTAACAAAATACGTATATTTTCTTTTCTGTATCCTTTTTCTCACAACTTTGAGAAGATGAACTAGAAGCCGCTAAAATGTTACCTCTCGCTAGATTTATTGTATAAGCAGTTATATAACAAACATGAGCCAAGGAAAGGTGAATGATTAATCTTCAGAGAGGCAGACACTCATTATTTATTTAAAAAAACCCAAACACAAAGGCAAATATATATTCCTTTGGTTACTTTTTAGCACAATTTCTGAAATGTCATTACAATGGAAATCAATGGAAAAGCATCCCTGAAAATAAAAAAAAAAAGCTATGGAATTTATTACAGAAAGGGATACACTTACTTGGAGTGGGTGCAGTGGATAATTAAGCCATACATCCCGCAGGTCCTGCAAACATTGAGAGATGCCTTTAATGCTCAAGGGAGTCATTTAACAAATTCAACAGTACTAAATAAAATGTCATTACTTGAAATACTGAACTATTTCAGATGCTGACTCTGCTTATTGCAAATTCAATAGTGCTGGCAAACTAATTTTTAAAATCATGTATTTGCTGTTCAAACTGCCTGTAGTTCTCCCAATTAGCTTGTGTCAAAGAGGTGGAAAAATCCTTGAACCAAATAAGAAGTAGTTAAAGGAAGAAAAAGATTTGTTTAAGCCTCAGGACTAACTTTATTTGCAAGTACTCCTCAGTAGCAAGTTTGACTTCACCAAAGGCAAGGACTTAAAAAGAAAAAAAAACCAAAACCCACACTTATTTTCTTCTGTTTTATATAGGCTTCCTTCAGTACAGGCACTAAGCAGCAAATAAGCACTGAGTTATAATAGGCTTCAAAATGCTTTTATTTCTAATAAGTTTTTTAATTTCACAGACTTAGAGACTTTCAAGAAGGAAAATACTGTATAATTTATCCCCTCACCAGAGCCCCGTGTATTGTCCTAGCAGTATGTACTGGTTACTTTCCTAAGCCATTATATGGGACAAATTCCAACCAATAGTGATCTAAGATATGATATGTAAGAATAGATCAGACTTTAATTATGGACTTAGGTAAATGTTGAATGAAATCCCCTCTATTTTTTTCAAAGATACATTTAAAACTTTTAGGGGTAGGAGGATTTAACTGACGCAACAGGAAGTCGCTGTACATGTGCATCATTTCCCCAAAGCATGCCGCCCGCATCCACAGCACCCATCTCTGTTGTTAGAGCAGTACTTTGAATTGAAGTGTGCAGGCTTCCCACGTCACCCACCGTTCCCTACCTAAACCAACCAACAAACAGCAGACCTGAGGAAACACCATAATTTTTCTGCCTGAACCAGTGCAGCTTGCTGTCCTAAATACGCTATGCTACATTCAGTTTCCAGGAACTAAGTAGAACAGGTGTATTCCTGTTCCTTTGTGATTCTCAAGAAGAACAATGGACAAGAAAGGATGTCTTCAGTTATTTTTAAAATGGAAATCAAATCATATAAAAACATAAGTACCTTGTCATTGAAAAGTAAACGTCCAAATAATTGTTTTGCTTCTTCTAGGGTCCCCTCCAGATAAACAGCTCCTGCATAAGAGGACCGGTACGTCAAAGTTCAACAATGTACTTAGAAAATTACTAAGCACAGGAAAGTCAAAGACGTCTGCTTTCTTCATCTCCAATACATTTATTTTTAAAAGCATGCTTTCTGTAGCAATATCTATTTTTTTGAGAAATTTAAAGCATGTTAAACACCAACATAAATCAATGGTCATACAATGAACAGAAAACCCCGAAATAGTTAAATCAGTGATATAAAATGATACATCCACAGAGCAAAGTTTAAACAAACTAGGATAGAAGCAATCTGTTTCTAAAAGCAGGTTCCAGTTATCAGTTAACTATACCATATCACAGAATCACAGAATGTTAGAGATTGGAAGGGACCTCGAAAGATCATCTAGTCCAATCCCCCTGCCGGAGCAGGAACACCTAGATCAGATCACACAGGAACGCATCCAGGCGGGCTTTGAATGTCTCCAGAGAAGGAGACTCCACAACCTCTCTGAGCAGCCTGTTCCAGTGCTCTGTCACCCTCACCGTGAAGAAGTTTTTTCTCATATTCAAGTGGAACCTCCTACGTTCCAGCTTGAACCCATTGCCCCTTGTCCTATCACTGGATGTCACAGAGAAGAGCCTGGCTCCATCCTCCTGACACTCACCCTTTACATTAATTATAAACATTAATTAATTAATTATAAACATTAATTAGGTCACCCCTCA